GGGAAAGAGAGCTACTGCTAGATGTATAGGTTTCCATCATGAAGCAATTAAAATATTCTGCAATTAGGCACAGTGATATTTAAATGACCTTGTAAATACTCTAAAAATCCACTGACGGAGAAGTTTGTGGTGTGTAAATTACTTCTCAAATTTTTAAAGATTAGGTCTTGATATGCCATCTACTTGCTCACTAGAGTTTAATCCAAGAGCAATTTGGGATTCCTCCAAACTTATCTTTCATAAAAATGAAACTTTCAAAATCTTGGTGGGTGAGTTTAGTGGTGCAGTGGATAAGACTGCTCAAGCAATGCTGGATCCATACCGAAGACCATGGATTCAGTTCCGTGGTAGACCCATTTATGCCAGGCCCAAATCCCATGATCCTGGCTGGCTGGAAGGCTGGCAAGGGATCACAGCATGTGATCCTATTGAGGATGTTTGCCTGTCTGTCTGTCTCTGTCTCTCAGCAAATAAACTTTTTTTTAAAAAGTATTGATGTGGGGCCAGCAGGTGGCATGGTGGTTGAGGTGCTGGACTCCCACATGGACAATCTGGGTTTCCTTCAAATTTCACATCTCAGACCTGGTGGCTTGCTCTCTTTCTCTTTCCCCTTCTCTCATCAAAATTAAGGCGCTGGACACACCCACATGACTGACCATGGTTCAAGTCCTGGATGTAGTGGCTTGCCTTTCTCTCTCTCTCTCTCTCTCTCTCTCTGGTCAAATCGGAAAAGATGAATGAATAAATCAAATTAAATGAATAATTCTTTTTTTAAAAAAATAACTTAAAATTACTTAAAAAAAAAAAAGCATTGACTTTTATCTAACAAGCCAATGAATATATTGAGAGAATTCCTGATGAATATGGATTAAGAGTTTATTTTCTTCTGAAGAATGAATAGTAAGGTTATGTGAAACTTAAAAATACTATATTTACAGGCACCAGCAGATAGCATAATGGTTACATCGCTGGACTCCTACGTAGTCAACCACAGGTCCAAGTCCAGGACCCCGCAGGTTAAAACTCATGCTGAACGCACGTGTATGAATGCCCAAGATCAAGAGGAGAATGTAAGAGAAGGGACTGCAGCGTGGCCATTCCCCCTGAGGGGTGATTTCTTACATTCTGTCTCTTTGTCTCTCTCTCTGTTTTTGTGGTGAGTGCATGCTCCCTATAGCAAAAATCTCTTTAAAAAAACTGTATTTACAAAATATTTGAGGACTGGGACCAGTAGATGGCATAATGGTTATGTTGCTGGACTCCCGCATATTCAAACACAGTTCAAGTCCCGGGCAGGGTGACTTAAACTCACTTAAACTCGGGTGCGCGTGCATGTGTAAACAAGATCCCAAGAGGAAAATAGACAAGATAGGCCTGTGGCATGGCTATTCCCCCTGAGCGATGATTTATTGCTTTCTGTCTCCTCTGTCTCTGTCTTTCCTGAGTGCATTTGCCCTATAGCAAAAACCTCTCCCTAAAAAAAAAAATCTTTGAGGACTGAAAAAACACTAGCAAATTTTTTTTGGTTTTTAACTCACTATTATTTCCAAGAGGTTTGTAAGATACAAATAATATGTCAACAGCACAGGTAATTTGAAAAACTTAATGCCAAGAAAAGGCATTACTTTTTTTTTTTCTTTTGGAAAGGTTTTTGCTATAGGGTGCGTGCGCTCGCCAGAAAGACAAAGACAGAGAGAGAGAAAGCAAGAAATCACCCCCCGGGGGGATGGCCACGCCACAATCCCTTCTCCTCCATTCTCCTCTCAGGATCTTGGGCATGCACGCACACGCGCCCAGCAAGAGTTTAGGCCGCCGGGTCTGGGACTTGAACCACAGTCAACTACATGGAAGTCCACCGACAGTCATTACGCTAACTGCTGGTCCCAAGGCATTACTTTTAAACTAATTTTAAAATTCCCCAAATGCCATATTCCTAAAGAAAAAATATTTTTATAAGAAGCAATGTCAGAATTAACATTTTTAAAAACCTATTTCTTTCTTTTGAATGGCACCATACAAAAGAAAGAATTTTTAAGTAAATACACGAATAAAACTCTTTAATAGTAACCTCCCACAAAACCCAGCACATTGGTCAGTCACATCTCTGGAAATGCATTGACAGGAGAAATATACCAATTCGACCTACCGAGGATACTCTGTGGAGAAGATCAAGTACTCTAACTGTAGTTTAAATTTCTAGAAAACAAAAACTAAGCATAGAGATCTTAAACATATACAAACTGTCAAATGCTCATGTTAGTACTTTATGTTTCTCAAGGCAAAATGATATGCATCACCTTTCTTCCCCTTCCCAAAGTGAGTTAACCAGCATATTAGAAAGCAGAATAAATTGAGACCAGCAGGTGGCATGATGGTTACATTGCTGGACTCCCATGTAGTTGACCAAGGTTCAAGTCCCAGACCTGGTAGCTTAAAACACACTAGGTGCATGTGTGTACATGCCCAAAATCCCGAGAAAATGGAGGTGAAGGGATTGCAGTGGGGCCACCCACCCGGGGGGGTGATTTTTCGCTTTCTGTCTGTCTCAACACTGAGTGCACATGCCCTATAGCAAAAATCTCTCTTAAAAAAAAAAAAGAAAGAATGAAAAAATGCAAAATAAACATTAAGAAAAATGCCCTGCAAACTTTTTAAGAATTTAGTGAATCACAACTTGCTTACTGTATTTACCTATAAAGCAGTTATTCAAAGATTTTTAACTTTAGACTCACTTGTAATCACTATGAACTTACTTTTCTAAAGAATTATTTATATTTGATTTTATGTATTCATTCATCTATTATTTAATTTGACCAGAGAGAGATAATGAGAAAGCAAGCCACCAGGTCCAGAACTTGAACCATGGTCGGTCATGTGGAAGTGTCCAGTGGTTTAACCACCAAGCCACCTGCTGTCCCATGAATTTACTCTTCAATCAGTAACACAGACCACTTGGGAGCCGGCAAGTGGCAGTGTAGTGATTAAAGGTGCTGGATTCTCCCATGGCTGACCATGGTTCAAGTTCTGGACCTGGTGGCTTGCTTTCTCATTATCTCTCTCTGGTCAAATTAAAATAATAATAACAAATGGAATTAAATATATAAACAATTTTTTAAAATAAATAAATAAATAAAATAACACAGATCACTTAACATCTGAAGAAAGAATGTAACAGGACTGATTCACAGTACATAAGGACTAGGAGAGACCCTAAAAACCATAAAAAAAAAAAAACCTCCTCTAATTTCCTCCCTTTTTGGGGACCAGCAGTTAGCGTAATGGCTATGTCGCTGGACTCCCATGTAGTCAAACACAGTTCAAGTCCCGTACCCGGTGGCTTAAACTCACGCCAGGTAAGTATGCGTACGTGCCCCAAGATCCTGAGAGGAGAATGGAGAAGGGACTGCGGTGTGGCCATCCTCCCTGGGGGGTGATTTCTCACTTTCTATCTCTCTCTCTCTCTCTCTCTTTCTGGCGAATGCACACGCCCTATAGCTAATTTCCTCCCCTTTTTTGAAGAATTATTTATTGGGACCGGTGGATGGCATGGTGGTTGCATCACTGAATTCCCACATAGTTGTCTGTGGTTTGAGTCCTGGATACAGCGCAACCAATAGCAAAAACTTCTCTTAAATTAAAGAAAAAGAAAAATACTTAGCCTCACAAATAATGTAAGACATGCAAAGTAAAATAAGATATCATGTTCAATCTATCAAATTAATGACATTACAGTCTAGAGTAGCCAATGATGCCAAGGATGTGACCCAGGAGCAAACAGTGTTGATAGCGATGAAAACGGGCACATACTTTTTAAGACAGCATTTTAGCTAAACATTTTAAGGATCTTAAAAATATTTTAGTGTCCTGGAATCAGCAGATGGCGTAATGGTTACATCACTGGACTCCTATGTTGTAAACCATGGTTTGAGTCCTGTACCTGGTGGTTTAGACGTTGGGCACATGTGCTTGAGTGCCCAAAATCCTGAGAGGAGAATGGAGGAAGAAGGACTACAGCGTGGTCATCCCTCCTGGGGGGTAATTTCTCACTTTCTGCTTATCTGTCTTTGTCTCTCCCGCAAGCACATGCACCTATAGCAAATATCTCTCAAAAAAAAAAAAATAATAAATTTAGTTTTTAATCTAATAAACTCATTTCTGAGAATCTATTCTAAAGAAAGTCTAAATTGGAGCCAGCAGGTGGTATGGTGGTTAAGGGCCCTGGGCTCCCACATGGCCAACCATGGTTCAAATCCCAGATCTGGCAGCTTGCTTTCTCACTCCTCTCTCTCTCTCTCTCTCTCTCTCTGACTCTGTCCCTCTCTGGTCAAATTAAAATAAAGTTAAACAAAGTAATTCTTTTAAAAAGAAAATCTAAATCAGGGGCTGGCAGGTAGCGTGGTGGTTATGGATGCTAGACTCCCTCATGGCCAACCATGGCTCAAGTCCTAGACCTGGCGGCTTGCTTTTTGACTTTGCCTG